GCAGGAATGGTCTAAATTCAAGGTTTTGATTTGCCAAGTTTGCTGCTTAACAAGTTTTGATGCAAACACCTTGAACTGACACTTTACCCCCCCCACACATGTACAAGCAGGCATTCTACAAGTGTAGCTATTGAACTCACAGCCACATCTATATCTACACTGAACTGTAATCCTTTTACTGTCATTATGCAAGTAGTAGAACTCATACCTGTTTTGAATGGCATGAAGTCTTAAGGCCCTCCTCAAGACTGAAGCATTACTGAATTTCTGATTTAACTTCAACTTGATTGGGTTGTCAAAGTCCACATCAGCATTAAACCAAGGAGCATAGTCCTGTTCCTCATCAGATCCACACAAACTCCTTGAATCATCTGAATCAGCATCACTTTCTGGATTCACCTTCGGTTTTCCAACATCCAAATCATTTCTCAACTCTACTCTCTTATCTTTGCCAACCCTGTCATCTACTGCACTCTCCAAACCTTTCCTAAGGCTCTTGTTCACTTTGGCCAAGATCTCCTTTGACCCTTCAATATACCATTCCTCATCCCCTTCATCAAATTCTTCTTCACCAGGTTCCCAATCTTGTCCCTCATCACTCAAATCTGAACTTGAATAACCAGATCCTTCACATCCATCATCCTTTTCTTCATCAAACCTCAACACTTTAGCATTAGCTGAGGCTTTCCTAGGTGGACTCTCCTCCCTTTGTTCAGTTTCTGTCTTCTTAAACCTAGGGCTCCTCCTAATAGTCGATGTATTTGAACTTTCTACCTTCTTATCCTTTTTTTTTGTCTTTGCAGGATTGGGTTGGGCCTCTTGTATGGGCTGACTAGGAGCTTCTGTTGTTACAAAAACCTCAACATACCCCTCTTCATTTACTGTCTCCAAAAGGCCCTTAACCTCTTCACTGTTAACTAGTTCCCTTTTCCCAGTGTTAAAGGTTTTCCCCTTCTGCCTATACCAACAGCTGTAATGCATAGGCACATCCATATCACCATTAACAAAACCATGAATTGCAGCTGTTCTAATCAAATGCACATCCAACTTAGATACTTGAACCTTCCTCTTCCAGTAACACCAACCACCACACCAACACAGCAGCTGCCTGTTTTTGGTTACTCTTTTAGGGACAAAAGCACCTCCCACTCTAAGGCAGATGTCAACCAAACTATCCTTGTCACCCATTATCTACCCACCAGTGAAAAACATATAAAACATATTAAAAGCCATGTAACTATACATGCACAATACGAATAAACAAATCCATCACAGCCACACAAACAAACACATAAAAAAATTGAAAATAAACATATACAAGCCAATGTAGGTGCTCAGTAACATAAATTAATCAACAAACCACACTTGCTAGTTTAATTAACAATAAACCACCTTAATTAATCTCTACTTTCAATTACGAAATCCAATTAACCTAAGTCGCATAGTCAGTTACAGAAATTGATTTATCAAGGCTTTCCTACTGTGGTCCCAAAATTTACCCTAATTACCCAATTATTGCAAGGTTTACAGCAATGAAGCACCAGTAATTGACGAAATTGCTATCAAAGGAGAGCAATTTTACCTTATTTTCTGTGAATTTCAAGCGGCTTTCGCACTTTTGTAGTTGAAGAAGATGATGAAGAAACCCTCCTGAGCTTATCTTCTCCAACGTTGACACCACCCTACACTCCACTTCTCAGCCAAGATCTCCTTTGGTTCAAAAGCGAAATCAATGAAGGTTCAGAAAGAATTCAATGCAGAAGGTTGCTGCGAATTCAATGAAGAAAGAAGTTTCGTGTTTTGCTGGGTGAAAATTGAAGTTCAAGCCAATTTGTGGGACCCACGTTAAATTTCCGTGACGGAAATCGTTAACTGGTGTTAACTTCCAACTTTTATATTTTTGGGAGGTGTTAAAATAAAAGTTTTTTTTTGGGGGGTGTTAAAAAACATTTTCAGCCTTTTGTAAGGTGTTAAAATCCAAAATATCCTAAAAATTATAAATCATAAAAAGCAAAGAAATATTGATCTAATCTCTCTTTACTTTAGGAACATCCTTCTCTTGGTCAATTAGGTCGGCCTTCACCATTAATGTGTCTTTTGTAGCCCGAACCGTCACACCCCTAGTGGAACTTTCACCCCTTTCACCTTTCTTGAAATTCTTCGGTTGTTTCTCTCTACATACCATCTTTTCTTTACCCTTCCCTTTCACATAATTCTTCTTTTTCGGCATTATAGGAGTCTTAAACTAAATCCCTTGTGTTCTCGGACCTAGACGATCTTTAGGAAGGGCTTTCTTATTTCCAAGACGACTCTTCACATCAGACTTGCGTGATCCGAATCGTTCCCTCCTACTTCTAGGGTTCAACCATGCCTTGTATGCACTAGATAAAGGAGGACGAGCTTGGTCACTTGCAGAAACGGTTTACAAAGGTCTTCCAATCCAATAAGTCTCGTACTTGTGAACGTTACTTTCATGCAATGATACTTCACGAAGACTATCGTTATAGTGTGGAACTACTTGTTCAAGTCCATACTGCCGCATCAATCGAGAAGGACAATAAAAAGTCAGTTTTGAGATACTAGGAACACGACAATATGGAGTATAATTCGTGCCAACCATCCTAGTAAGCCTCCACCAAGGCACCACCCAACGAATGGAAAATTCCCTCTTTGCAAAGAAATTTTTCCAGTCTTCATACGACATGTTCGCAGAGTAATTCTTTTTCATGCGGACTAGGACGTTAGGGCCATATTTTTCAACATCGTCGGGGGCTTCAAATAGTTCTAAACGCTCCATCAACCAAATCTGCAAAAAAAAAAAAAAATATTTGCAGATTCCTGTGACACGGCAGATCTCACCGTGTCACGACAGACACCCACCGTGACACGGTGCCTGTTTTTTGTCACGAGGGCTACTTGGAGCTTATTTTTACCTGCAGCAGTACTAGAGAGCCTTTCCTGATGGCTTTCTGGTCAGCTTTTGCTTCGTCAAGGCCACAAAATGTTTCTCCAAGGCACGTCGGTATAGGAGATCTTCCAGATTCGACATGTTCAAACACAGACGCTAGACAACCATGTCCTACCCTACCGTTTGCAAATAAAAGCTTGCTAAACATGCAAAAAATATGTGCCCTTCTACGATATACATGATAAGACTCAGAGATAGGGCGATTAAAATATAAATTTGCAAGTTTTTCTAAGTCTACCTCATTACCACACACAATTCTATTTAAATTTGGATCTGTTAGATTCAGATGGCGTTCAAAATCTTGGTAATAATATTCACGTAGGGTAGGCATGGCAATAAGATTTCTAGCTGGAAATCCAAAGATTGCACCGAATTCCTCCGGCAGGGGATAGATTTCATCATAATCAAATTTAAAACAGTGTGTTTCTGGACTCCAATAATCTAATGCTGCCCGAAGAAAATCATGTTCAATAGCTACATGTCGCAGGGCTAGCAAACCCCTGACATGAAATAATTCTAACTCTCTTTTTTCAGCATAGGTCAAAGAATAAGACCAGTCGCGCAATGTATTATCAAAATTCTGAGACATGATTATTGAAATATGAAATTCTAAATTATTTTGTGTTTCGTAATTATGCATATCATGAATAAACTGGTCTTATTTTATAACAAAAGCGCTCGAAACTACCCAGAATTTATCTTTTCACGCGCGTAAAACACACCGCTGAGTAATAGGCGTCCCGTGACACGGGAAGTTCCACCGTGTCACGGGAACTTTTGCCGTGACACGGCAAGTTCTGCCGTGACACGGTGCACAGTGCCGTCTCACGGCACCCCACGTGTTTTCTTTTTTCATCCTTTCCCGTATCTATCCGGATTTTTTTAGTATTTTATCTTCACCGTTTATTTTTCATTTTTCTTAGAGTTTTATTTCTAATAAAATTCTCAACTTTTTTATTTTTATTATTTTTTAATATTATTATTTTTTTTATTATCTTTATTTTATTTATTTATTTATTCATCACTTTAATATTTTATTTTTTTTTATTTTTTATTTTTCTCTTTATCATTTTATTTACTTATTCTACTTATTTTTACTTTTCTTTTTATTTCTTTTTCTTTTGGGGAAGGTCGGTACCCTCCATTACTCCACTTACGTTTTTTGCCGCGTCATTAATAAATACACGATCACACACAATGAGTCTCAAGCACACACTAACACATAATAATAAACACATAAACTGTGAATAATGTACAAAAGAGTCATAATAAATAAACAGTGTCAATTGTCATCATAGTATGTACAAATAAAAACCCTCAGTCAAAAGTCTCTAGAACCAGAATCAGTATCATCTCCACCCTGTGAATATGGGAACGGTGAGCCAAAGAGTCCCTCCATCATCCGAGTACGGGGAGTAGTGTCCCTACTAGTCCCTGTGACCCCAGCAGTAGTCAAACTCAAGGCAGAAGCCGTCCAACCGGCAACCGGTGTAGATTGACTCAAAGACACGGGAATCGTCGGTGAAGGCATCGTCCCATACATCAGAACTGAGAACAAGCCCGACACCGGTGGAGGAATCCCAGACAATGGAGCTGAAAATAAACCAGGATCCACGGGAGTCAAAACAGACCCAAGCTCAGGCTGTGGAGGCTGTGAAAACGACTACTGCTGCCCCTGAATCTGGCCCAGAAAGCGCTGGGAAGACTGAGGCTGCTGCCACTGAGCCTCCTGAAACGGCTGAGTAATCTGAGGCTCTCGCTGAGAATGAGAACGCCGGTGAATCTCAGGAGATCGTCTACCACGACCAAGCTCCTCCTCGTCCGAGCCTCTATGCCTCTAGCGCGAGCGGGACCTCCGTTGCTCCTGAAAGATACAAAATCAAAAGGTGTCAACAATGCAAAATAAAACAAATGGTAGAAGTGAAAAAAAATGAATGATACCTCAAGAACGTTGCTAGAACTGCTCCGACAACTCGCACCACGCCGAAGCTTAATGATGCAGTACTTCAGGGCGTCAACCAGGTTCATGAATCCCATCATCTCCGGGCGGTTAGGCTGAGGATAAAACAAAGAAAAATTAGTAAGAAGTGGTGATAAAAGGATGAACAATGCATCAAAAAACTTACCGGCTCAAAGACCTCGGGCAGAGACTCATGCGCCTGTCTGTAACCCTCTGGCGTGTCAGCAATATGGACCCCGGGTAGCGGACAGACTGAGGCGGAATCTCGATCCTCCCCACAGGGCGAATAGTCGTCTGAAAATATGATCGAATAATCAAGTCATTCGACTATTTAAAACAGAGACTAGTAACAAAGATCCTCAAAAGAAATCATACCTCAGGAAGACGGGGTGGAGGAGCCAGAGAGGGAAGCAAGCCCTGCGCATAATCACCCTCCATGTGCACAAGCTCCTACCATGGAAAAGTATAGCTCTCTCCCCTGTTTATCAACTCCCTAATCAAGCGTGAGTCCAGCATCGACTCTAGTGGAGATGAGGGCACCACAAAGCGATCGCCGCTATGCTGACGAACGACACGCTCCCCCAAATACCAGAAAAAGCGTCCGGTACCAACCAAAATGGTGCGGTGCGCTGAAAGACGTGAGGCCTCAGGAAGATCAGTCATCCCGGCCCAAGGACGACACTGGACATCAATGGCAACCTGAAAACCATAAAAAGTTGGCATGAAACACCGGAAACAACGTCAGAGGGAAAATAACAGGCAACAAAACTAATTCTTACGCCAACAGAAGAGGTGCCTCGGCGTAGCAGCCCACGCAGCGCAGGGACAGACTCCACCCGTGACTCTCCTCAATCACGCCAGCTGGCCCCGACAGGGAAATCATGGACCGCTCCATGACGCCGGCGAGGATCCAAGCCTGGGAAGTACTCGTAGAACCATATCTGCAATGAAAAGTAATCTTTGAGCACATGAGTCAAACAAGTTAAAGTGAAACAAGAAAGGGAAAAGATCATCACCTCTACGAATCTCCACAAACCATAGACAGTGATGGGAGACTCGTCATTCAGCTGTCGACAGCCTTGACGTAGCGATAAGAGAAGGTCGGCGTATCCGAGGCTGGCCCAGCTATAGGATCCTATCTCATGGATCCTGACCAAAGAGGGGAGGTAGCAAAGGAGTACGCGTGAACTCCTATCAGGAGAAAGAGTCATAGAGATCAGAATCAGAATGAAGATCTGCACTCGCTGCTCAGCCGATGTCTCCTCCATGTCGAAGCTACGAGCTAGAACTGAAGCCAGCTCCGATCGCCCGCTCCTAGGACCACCTCGAGACACTGGCCGGGTCCTGATATGCTGAACGATCAGACCTAACAAATCGGCTGCCTCAGCCGATCCCAAAGACAGAACAGACATCTGGGCTACGGCCCGGTCAGTGAAGCGCAGCCCGCTAATCATACTGAAGTCCAGAGGGGTCACTGTCATCTCCCTCCAAGCAAAATGAAAAGTGTTGGTAGTATCCCAGAAATACTCCAACAATGCGCAAACGACCGTCGCACCACAACCTCGGGGGCTGCGAAACCCTACAACTGCCGTATAGAAATCTACTAAACCAGCAAATTCCCATAGGGCGTTCATAGCAGGATCCCTCGTAATGATCTGGTGAAGTCGAGGAATCAAATCGTCGGCTCCAGAACCGTGGTGGCGAAGCGTGCCGTCGACTATGCCGAAGAGTGGGCGATGAGAAACATGGTTTTAACGGCAGAAAACCAACTGGTCTAGAGTCCACAGAGGTGGAACCCACCTACCTCTACTCGTAGAAGCCCGAGGCTCGGACTCTATGGCATCGTCGTCTATACCCTCGGGAATAGTGGGAGTGTCCTCCCGAAAATCCTGACGCCGGCCGTGGGTGGAAAGATCGTGATCCCGTCCCCTAGGCATGCTATTATAAAAATAAAGATCTAAATGCTTAGCATCATTTCCTAAGACATTTAATTCAAGTTGCATTTTTATAAAAAATCTAAATTCTTAGCATCATTTTCTAAGTTATTTAGTTTTTTATTGCATTATACGCTAAATTTTTACCTCAAGGCTAAAAATTGGCAAAATTATGGAAGTATCTATAGTGCTTAGTTTCTCCATGACAAACTAGTACTATAGTTCTCCTAGCCGCATGATACTATGTTCTCCATGACCATATAGTACATACACGAAATATGTTTCGGAATTGCACAAAAACAATGAATCAACACATCATGACATATTTTACAAGATCTACCACCAATATTTCACCATTTCCAGTGCAAAGAAGTAACATGTACATCATTTCACAAAAAGTAGTACCCAAAAATGGTGATTTGCTCAATTCTCCATCAAATCATGCAATTTTTTGTCTCAAATTTCACACAAACATACATACATACATATACAAGTAAATTCATGGCAAGAATTTTAACATAAAACCTCAAAATCAAAAATCCCCAAATTAATTTTTCAAGGTTTTTACATGAAATTACTTATTTGAAGCAAATTCGAGACAAAATCAAAGGAAACTTGCATGGATTCTTATAAAGAATCAAAAATGAGGAAATTAGCAAGAAATTAGAGCAAAATTGGTGAAGATTTGAGCTCCAAAAGATCAAAAAAAATCTCGGAGACCAGCGCAGCCGTCGTGACACGGTTGAGCTACGCTGCGGCTCGGTGGGAGAGTGGCATGTCACGGGGATTAAATCTCGTGTCACAGCAATTATAAGGTTCGCCGGAGCTCCGATGAGCAGCTACAGCAGGACGACAGTAATAGCAGCAAGCAACAGCAAATCTCAGCGAAGAAAAACAGAAAAAAAAAGAAATGGGAACCAGCAGCAACGCCGCGCCACGGGAGGGGATTCCGGCTAACAGAAGAAAGCTTCGAGCGCCGGTGAGAAGCTGCCGAGACACGGCAAACCGAGCAAAAAGATTTTTCTTTGGGTGAAAACCAGACAAGAAAGAGGAATGGTGGATGAGCAAAATGGGAGAAATGGTTGATATTAAAAACCAAAAAATCTCGTGCAACGGACCCCGTTCCCAAGTAACGGTAATATATTGTGTGGTGCACATGGTCTGACTTGTCAAAGATGCCAGTTGACCGATTTTCAGTCAACAAATTCCCGTGCCACGGGAATCTGTTCCGCGTGACGGGACCACCCTACCACGTCATGGGAAATTGCTCCGCGTGACGGGGACCCGTGCCGTGTCACGGGAATCCTTTTCGTGACATGGTGGCTTTGTGCCTGCCCCAAACAGTTATTTGCGAATATTCCTGACATTTTGACTAAAATTCTAACTGATACTTAAAGGGGACTAAAATTACCATTTTACCCCTAGCAAGCATCAAAGTCTATTTTTCGGCATTTTAAACATCTAATATGGTCAGATAATCGACTTAAAGGTGTGAATCATCTACGGCCCACGTTCGGGGATAATCGAACCATCATACACTTTCAAATTTCAGCAATTATGTAGTCGTCGACTTTCCTCAAGCTTGGAAAGCGTTATCGGTGGATTTTTCTTCAAGTATAGAAAACCGCTAAGTCGGCTTTCCTCAAGCATGGAAAGTGTTATCGGTGGATTTTTCTTCAAGTACAGAAAACCGCCAAGTCGGCTTTCCTCAAGCATGGAAATCGTTATTTGTGGATTTTTCTTCAAGTATAGAAAACCGCCAAATTCCTTTGTCGGCTTTCCTCAAGCATGGACGGCAGTATCGGTGGATTTCTTCAAGCATAGAAAGACACCAAATTCATTCGTCGACTTTCCTCAGGCATGGAAAGTATTATCCGATAGGTTTCTTCAGGCTTAGAAAGCTACCAAGCTCTTCGGTCGGCTTTCCTCAAGCATGTAAAGCGTTTCAACAAATGTCACTCGGTGGATTCCTTCAAGCATAGGAAGCTGCCAAATTCGTTTGTCACCGATACACTGGTGCTAGATACGTATTATATCCTTTTACCCTTTCATCTGTAGAACTAACATTTTTCTGCAGGTATCGGCGTATACAGAATGATTTAGGATCGCAGAACGTCTTAAATCATTCTCCGTCCCTATCGGCTACTTTTACTATCGTTTTCGAAACTGACGTTTCTACAACCTCAGTCAAAGTGGGGGCTTCTGTAGACACCTAAAAATGTCTCCCCAAAACCAAACCCGATGATGAACAACCTTTCACCGCAACTATTGGTCGGGTTCAGTATTTAATCCCGAGAGTGCTTAAAAAATCGTATTTGATTAAATTCATATTTTTGAACGGTCCATGGATTAGTCTTGATGTTTAGTAAAAGAATAGTTTTTATTTCAGCCCAAACTTATTATTTAATTTTAGCCCAAACCCTTTTTTATTTTATTTTTGGCCCAAACCTTTTGTTTATTTTTATTTAATTATTTTCTTATTTTAGCCCATATAATAATAAGTCAGAAAAGGCCCGAAATTATCAATCGGCACTTAAAATGCCGAATGAAATTAGGTTAAAAATGTATTTAGACGGAAAAGTGGGCTGGGAATTACCGCGCCACGATAGACAGCCACCGTGTCACAAGAGTCCTTCCCGTCTGACGGTGGGATTTCCCGTGACAAAGGAATTCTGCCGTGACACGAGACATTCGTGTCTTTTCCGCGTAAACCCTTAACGCGTTTTCTTTCCCGTTTTCTGAAAATTTCCCGCGTCACACTAAAAATGTACCGTGTCACGGGAAAGTTTTCCGTCTGACGGTTGGACTTCCCGTGTCACGGTACAGATTGCCGTGTCGCGGGATACTTTTTTAGGGTTTTAATAATTTCAGGGTTCCGTGTGCTCCCTTTTCCCTATAAATACCTCCCTCATTTCTGATGTACGGGGAATCAATTAATTCTCTAGTTTTTACTTTTCTCTCTTCTATGCTTTAGCCTAAACACTAGCCTACCCTTCTCATTTCAAAATTCCTTCTTCAAGTGCTCAAAGGAGTCCATACTTTACTCGTGGTTCTGTCCTTAAGCCAAGGCGTGAAAGGTAGAAATGTTTGAGGGTTTGGCCCCAAATCAACTCTACTTTATTTAATTTAATTTAATTATTGTTTTATTATTTCCTTGAAGTTACTAACTTGTTTATTATTTTGTAGTTGCAAACAAACAGAATCAAAGTAAGAATTATGTTCCTTTTATTTCTGTTATTTTTCTAACGATTTTATATGGTTGGAATTGTGATTAAATTGTTTCCAATATTAATGTTTGTTCTATTATATTTATTGATCACCATATTGAATGTTAAACGGAATATGTAATTGAAAATCACGCCTAATAAGATAATTTGGACAACCGGTTTAGGATCCTTTTTAATCTTGTTAATTAATTCAAGTGATCACAAATATTTTAGAATTATATGTGTGCATTAATATTCAACCAATTTAGTTAAATAATAGTTTGGAGCGAATTGAATATTTTGTTTGTATGCCTTTTAGATCATAGGAATGCTTTTCAATATAAGAATCGAGTAGAGGCCAATACGAGCGAATGTGACTCCATGACTCACTTCGTACCATCATCCCCGA